TCAGTACCAGTACCATGAGACGATGAGGGAAATGGTTCTCCAGAGCAGCGGCTGGGGGCTCATCAAAGAGGAGGGACTCAAGGTCCTTTGCCTGCTCCTGCGCACAGCCAGGGGCCACCACGACAAGGTGAGACTGAAACAGAAAGCTGTACACATTAGGGGTGAGGGCATTCTGGCAGGATTTTCTCTAAAAATCATTTGTTAACATTACTGAATTTGTCTTCAAAGCACCGGTTTTGGTAAAATGGTATTGCTCCAAACTTACAGATGTGAAATTGAGACACAGACACTAAAGAAAACCAACAAACGGACCAACCCTCCAAAACAACCCCTTTAATTTCTGTAAGGAACTTCAGAAGCTACCGGGACGAATTTGGGAAACTTCATCATTCCATACCCCTGTCTGCTCAGAACAAGGGTCTCATGGACTTCACTGCATTTATCAACTTTTAGTTCAATCCAAAGTTTGGCTCCATTCAGTTATCACTTGAAATTCTGTGTCAAAGAAGGGAAACAGTTCTTGAGGATGGTATTTAAGTGCTTAGACCGAAGCTTCATTTAGACATCCATTTCTCTAAAAATGGGGAAATGACCCAAAGACTGTACCTTCATTAACTCTAAATATGGTCAATCCTGACCAACTATCCTGAACTGGAGGAGAATAAAAATAATTTTGAATACCTGACATTAAAGACTATAACTTACTACAGATGCATACAGGAGAGAATTAAGGGTAACTCAAGGATATCCCTTCATTTTAGGATTTTATCAGTTTTAATATGCAACTTTGAGATGTTTATATTTTTCTAACATTGTCTTTTTCTATGCAACTTTCCTTTTTTGGCCCATGTTGTTATCCACGTATATTATCTCGACATAGGCACTAATTGACGACCAAGACAGGCACCTGATCCTTTTGCGTAGCAAGAATGTGCAGACTTTTCAAAACACAGCAAGAATCAAACAAGAGGAATCACATTCTTTCTAATTAGCAACACGCTCTTCTCCACACAGCTTGCTTAGCTTTTTCTCAAGGGTACATTATCAATAATGCTTTCTGCCTGCCTTTCATCCTTACTTTTCTCAACTTTCTTTTACGATACAAGTCCCTACAAAATGACACACCTTTCTTTTTGCAATGTGTATGTATTGCCTTTGATCTGAGCAAAGAATCTACTGTTTTTCTCCAGTATTTTTTATGTTTATCCCTAAAGAAAAAAACCCTAACAGTAATGTAATGACAAACTGAAAGCAGTTTAAAAGCACAGAATAAAAAAAATAATTATGTACACCCTTAGCAGTAACAACATGACAACAAAAGCATAACTTCTAGTTATGTACTAGTCATTTAGGAGACTCTCAAATACTGAGATGCTTAATGTAAACAACATGGAAAAAATTATCTGCTCATATGTGCACTAGATGGTAGCTTTTCTATTCTGCTACTGTCACAGGTACATAATTCCAGTAAATAGGCAGTATTTTCAGGCCTACTGAATGGCAGAATAGTGAAATCTGTACATATTGTCTGCATTTCATGAGAGCACTTTGATTTTTGTCAAACAATATCGAAAAGTTAGTGTTTCGTTTTTTTCCCCACTGTTATTTTTTAATCCAGTGTCTAACATCAAATTGTGTATTTTTAACATCTATTGATTGGTTTTCATTTCACATGAGCTAAAAACAATTCTTGAAGGCAAGTGCCCACTTAGTACAATATTCCTTCCTTTTATGACAGTAATATTGGTGTAAATACTCATGTATGTAAGGTGAGAAATCGGCTTCCTGTAACATTCACACAATTAAACTTCACTGTTCACAGGAAGCAAACACAAGAGGCGCTGACAGCCAAATCAGATCCCCTGTCTCCACTAAAATCATCTTCTATAGAAACATTTTCAGTTGTTTACCCTTTTAAGCTGTAATAAGTTATAGAATGGAACGGAATGGAACGGAATGGAATGCCATGCCATGCCATGCCATGCTTCAGTTGGATGGGACCTACAATGATCATCTACTCCAACTGCCTGACCAATTCAGGGCTGACCAAAAGTTAAAACATGTTACTAAGGGCATTGTCCAGATGCCTCTTAAACACTGACAGGCTTGCGGCATCGACCACCTCTACAGCAAGCCTCTTCCAGTGTTTTGCCACCCTCTCCATAAAGAAATGCTTCCTAATGTCCTGCCCAAACTCCCCCTGGTGCAGCTTTGAACCATTCCCACGCATCCTGTCACTGGAGAACAGGGAGAAGAGCTCAGCACCTCCCTCCCCACTTTCCCAGTCGGCCCCCAAGCCTCCTTTTCCCCAAACCAGACAAGCCCAAAGTCCTCAGCTGCTCCTCACAGAACATGCCTTCCAGACCTCTCACCAGCTTTGTTGCCCTCCTCTGGACACATTCAAGGACCTTTTCACATCATTCTCAAATTGTGGGGCCCAGAACTGCACACAGAGCTCAAGGTGAGCCCACACCAACGCTGACACAATGGGACAATCCCCTCTTCCGACCGGCTGGTTGTGCTGTGTCTGACGCAACCCAGGGTGGGGTTTGCCCTCCAGGCTGCCAGGCCACAGGGCTGGCTCCTGTGGAGCCTGCTGCTGGCCAGCACCACCAGGTCCCTTTCTGCAGGGCTGCTCTCCAGCCACTCCTCTCCCAGTTTATACTTGTGCCCAGCACTACTCTGCCCCAAGTGCAGAATGCGGTACTTGGACTTGTTAAATTTTGTGCCATTAATCATTGCCCAGTGCTCCAATGTTATCTAGATCCCTCTCCAAGGCCACCTGTCCATTCAGAGAGTCCACAGCACCTCCCAGTTTGGTGTCATCAGCAAACTTGCTAATGGTGCATTCAACTCCTGCACCCAGAACATCAATAAAAATACCGAGCAGAACTGGCCCTAGAATTGATCCCTGAGGAACATTGCTGGTGACCAGTCACCAGCCAGAGGCAGTCCCATTCACTATGACCCTTTGAACCCCGCTCTTCAGCCAGTTCTTCACCCAGGCTCCTACCGGTTGACAGACTGTTCTGTCAGCATCCTATACATTCCTGTAGGGCTTCATCTGATGTCTTTCTTTAAGGAAATCTTAATTACAGTGTCCAAATGATTATGTCAAATAGGCAAGGTCATGGATCACCTTTTGACAAATTAATCTGTGCTTATTTTGTGTAAATTTATTACTTTTACATAAGATATCTTTAAGATGTGTAAATCTGCCATCAGCACAGAAGCATCCAAAATGGTTTGTATTTTAATATTTCCACTACACTGTTTCTTTTCTTGTTATATACTTAATGATATATTAATTATTATTGTGGCATAATGAAAACATTCCTTTTTTTCAGAAGCTGTAAAATAATCTCCTGATCTTTTGCAGTGATTGAACATGTAATGGTATTCTGCTCGGACCCTTGTAAAACTGAACTGCAGGAAATTAAGATTTACTCACCTACACTTCTCCTGCATGTTTAAGTAAAAACTTCTATTTCTCTCAGGACCAAAACCAAGAAGGTATCACATAGTCAATATGACTAAAATCTTGCCAGTCCCTTGGCAGAAACATTTGTTATGCATAGCAGGACAGTTATTCCACATAGAAATGAATATGTACAGTTCAGTGTCCATTACCTGTACTCCCAAATGAATATTTGTTAGAAAAAAAGTCCATAACATTCACGCACCAAACAGGGCCTCCCTTGCTAAAGTTTAATTTAACTCTGTTCCACCTAGCTACAGAGAAAGCTACTCAATATATGCCTAAGAAAGAGCTTGTTCCTCACAACTGATACTTCTTCTCGTTACCTCTTTTCAGGTTTCTTTATTTCAGCTGTTCTTAGGATGTGTAGGTGGCACTTTGCCACCCAGCCCTGCTACCCACGTCTACACCTCTGTCTCTCATTGTGTCTCTCCCACTTTCCTCCTCCCCTGAGTAAGAACACTTTTTTTCTCAGCTTAGTCTTCTTGTGAAAAATATGGTTCCAGCTGGTCCATGCCTCCCCTCTTTGAAACCAGCTAGGAGGATCTGGGACCTTCCGATCACCACCTCCCCATAAAGACCTTGCGGTGCTGGATGCAGGTCCCAGTATGACGTTCGCTTCCCTGTTGGCAGAAGACTTATGGCAGAAAGAGCGAGGTGGCTTTGAGAGAGCTCTCCTGTTTGCCTCTTGTAAAATCCATATTCAAAAGCAATGCTGCAAATGCTGGATTTGGTCCACTCAGCTGGCCCACACCAAGTATTAATTGTACTTTCAGACACAAATACTGGCAAACTATCTAATGCACTTGTTTTTGTTTATTTATTTGTTTTGCTTGGGAAAAAGCTGCAGGGGGCAACTAGTCATAGACTATTTAGTGGGGGTAGCTTCAAAGGCAGCCAAAGCAAGGCCTTCAGACAGAACTTTTCAAAGCTTTTTGCTGTGTCTTCTCCAGCCTGTACCACTGGCTTGTTAGGTCAACTCTGACTTACCTGTTCCTCAGTTACCTTTGCACCTCACATTCACATCTGCAACTGCATTCTTTCTTTGCCCTGCCCTCCTTTCCTCAGTATCCTCCTTGTCTTTAACCTACTCTTTCCTCATTGCTGCCTCTTAACTCCCCCAGAAATGAAATACAAAAACAGACTGCGAAATCAACTTTTGCAGACACAGATCCTACGCTGCATAGCTTGGACTACTTTCTGCACTGGGCTTATTCAGTTCCTAGTACAAAGAACAACTCTTTTGTCAATCTTGAAGTATTGGCAGAAACATCATGCACAGAAACTAAAGTAAAATGAACTGTGGTAATGCCAGAGTATGATTTGCAAAACACTGAAGAATTATTTTGTATTGGGAAGACACTTCATCTCAGACGCAACTGAGAAAACAAGTGTATTTTTACTATCAACTGTTTCATACATACAATGTTTTTCCACAGAAACATAGAATTTTAAGCACATTGCCAATTGTATTGAAACAGACTGGTTGCTGCTGTTAAGAAAGGTTTCTTGCTTGCTTTACCTGAGCTGGTAGAAGCAGGAGACTTGCTGCGTCGGGATGGGCCTGGACTCTTGGTGTTGCTCCTACGTGAAGTCGAAGCTATTTTGGTATAGGAAGTGGATTTCACCACCCGACATTCTAAAAGACAAAGAAACTGCATAAGTTAGCAATTAAGAAAGCCAGCAAGATTCTGTAACAGAAAGAGCACTGAAAAGCACAAACATTTAGCCCACGCTTGTTTTCATTCATCTTGAGGAGTTTTATGGGATAATATAAAATCTGTATAAATGGCTCCATTAAAATCCAAGTACAGTGTGTACCACATCCCAGACAAAGGAACTGCTGCAGTAATCCAGACTTTTAGATACCATGGTTACTGCAGGTACTTAGGACAGCTTAATTTAACAGTGCTGAGACTACATGTAAAACTTATTTGCTTTTGAAGGTTTCAGCACATGCATTCAGTAATGGGTTTTTTTTGTAAAAGATCCAAATGCAATATAAGCATTTTTGTCAACCTAGGCAGTCTCCTCTAGAAGAACCGGAAGGCTGCTTTGATATATCAAAATGTTAAGACTGTACAAGATGACGCAGGTGTCTGTCACTCATGAAAGGTTTGAAGAAAGTGAAGCAGGTTTGTTGCTCCTGCTTAATCCTCTGGTGAGCAACAGCCCACATTGTATAGCACACGCAATTCATCACAGGTTGAGGGAAATGGCACTACTTGCTCATAAGAGACATCAGTAAAATCAATGAAGAGGCGAAATTACCCTCCCACTTGAGAACACTGCAAGATGTTCAGGTTAGAGTTTATATACACCCACACAGCTCTGTAGGCATTCTTGCATTACGCCTGCAAAATGGTTCTTGGCCTGAGGATGAAAGAACTTAGTGTGCATAATGCTGATGTCTTGCACTCATAATGGATACTAGATTAATCACCGGACATATTATACAGTCAGGGGAAAAAAAAAAAAGTTTCCGCTTCTTAGCCAATATACAATTAGAAGTCTGCTGCAATGTTTACACTGTCTTCACCTGACGATGTCAGTATACTTCACTTGTTTAAAAACACATCAGTAAACACTTAGTTCTGTATCAGACCTGTTCCCCATTTTCTTCCCATGGTTAAGGTTTCTCAACATAGGCTAAGAGAAATAAACAAGAATTTTTATTCCCTAGTAAGAAAATACCATGTACTAGCCTGCACATTATTTAGTCTTCACAGATGATCAGTGGAGCCTGTAACATAGTTTAGACAGATTAGAGAACAAAGAAATAAAATCGAGCATAACTAATTAACTTAAACATATCCACCAGAGAATGATGTCATGAAATGTATTTCTCTTGGCTGCCCTAACTGTTTGTCTTTCGTCAAGCTGTTGAAGGAAATAGAAGCAAGAACTGATGCGTTACTGAGGGAACGTCCAGCACAGCTGAGAGCTGAGAGGCCCAGAGAAATGCCCTGGTCTTCCCAAAGAAGCTTTTCTTCCCAAACTTTCCCACCTCCCTAATGCCCAATAGTAGCTAATTTCTTTCTGTTGACATTTTATGTGATTCATTGATGACTACTCTATTTTACACCGAACGATGAGTGGAAACGGAGCAAAACATTTACTCTGTTGTAAGAGGAAATTATCAACTGAAAACAGGAGGAATCAGATGAAAGCTTTCAATTAGATTCCACTAGGTAACTACAGCAGGAACCTTACATTGATGTATTGGCACAAACAGCTGCTCCAGAAACCGTCTACATATGTTGAGTGTAGGTTCTTTACCTTTCTTGCAAACAAAGATTGAAAATGTCCAAACACCTAACAGCCAGCTTATGTGATCTTGTAAAACTACAGTGTAATCCCAGTGTGGGCCCCATTCACATGAATCAGTTGGGAAGGGAACTGAATATTTTAATGGTCAACAAACAATAAGACTAAAGTAGAATGACCCAATCAAGCTAACCCCATTAGATTATAGTCATTTGCTTAGTAGAAAAACTTAAGAGTCATGAAGAAAGCAGCCAGCTACTTTCTGTAATATACTTTACTATGTAAAAAGCTTTCCTGTTTCCAACATGTAAACAGTTATCTACATCCCTTTCTCGCAATTCATGCTATGCACGAAAGCTTAACTCTTATCTTGTTACACATATTAATACTAGCTCAAGTTCTCTCAGTAACTTATAATCACCCAGAGTCAGAGGTTAGAAATAAGATTCTGTTATTTGAATGTGTATTTCCTCTCCTAGTATCGGAAAGGACCAGGCAGAAAGTGGTACGAAAAGAAAGCAGAGGCAAGTAAACGCACATCCAGGTTATCTTTCCATCCTACTGAAATAATGCTGCTGAGGACAATGAAATGAAAATAATTAATAAAAAGTTATTCTTCTTTATCTGGGGTTTTGTCACACATAGGCAAGAATGGTGTGGGTGACCTGAACTGCAGAGGCTAACAATATCTTGTCACCATCTTCCTTGTCTCCCAGCAAGAAGTGCTCCTAGTCACACACTACCGAGGGGTGCTACCATTTCTGGGAAAGAGGGAGACTGGCAACTGGCTGCACCCATCAGGGCATTTGACCACCCCTCACTACTGATAGTCTCCTTAGAAAGGGTGATGTTAGGAGTGGTCTGCAAATTGTCCTGATGGGCTACATATAGACCATGACCTGTTATTTGAGTAACCCTATACTAGTGGCACGTTATTCCACGAGGAACCCACCTATCACAGCTAGCTGAACATTAAATCTTTCTCCACTGGAGCAGAAACACAGATGATCATATGTTCATACGATAAGTTGAGAAATGGAACGCTCATCATAGGATAATCCAGGTTGGACATGAGAAGTTCTCTAGTCCAATTTCCTGCTCAAAGCTTGAAGTAGCCTCACATTCAGAGTCCTGGTCCACTTGGGGGACACTTCAACCAACCTGAGGAACAACACAGCAGGTCATAAACAGTGCAGGAGGATCCTGGAGAGCATTAGTGACAACTTCCTGATCCAAGTGACAGAGAAACCAGTGAGGAGAGATGCTCTGTTCACACTCACAAAAAAGAAATGGGTCACTGGGGATGTGAAGGCAGTCTTGTCTGCAGTGACCATGAGACAGTGGAGTTCAGGATCATGAGGGGATGAAGCATGGCAAAAAGAAGGATCACAGTTCTGGACTTCATGAGAGCAAGCTTTGAACTCTTCAGGTATCTGCTTGGAAGAGTCTCATTGGAAAAGGCCCTGGAGGGAAGACGGACCCAAGAAAGCTGATTAATATTCAAGGATCACCTCCTCCAACCTCCAAAAGAGCACCTCAACAAGCAAGAAGTTGAGAAAAAATGCCAGGAAGTCTGCTTGGATGAACAAGTTTCTCCTGGAAAAACTCAAACATAAAAAGGAAGTATAAAAAAGATGAAAGCAGGAACAGGTAACTGGGAAGGAATATAGAGCAAGCCCGAGCATGGAGACACACAGTTAGGAAAGCCAAAGCCCAACTGGAATTGAATCTGATGGGACGTGTCAAGGGCAAGAAGAAGTGTTTCTTTACATACATAGGGAACAAGAGGAAGACTAAGGCAAATGCACACCCACTGCTGAATGAAGCAGGGCCTTGGTGACACAGAACTTTGAAAAGGCTAAAATACTGAATGGTTTCTTTGCCTCAGCCTTTACTAGCAAGTCTGGCCTTCAGGAATCCCAGGTCCCAAAAGCAGAATGAAAGCCTGGAGAAAGGAATATCTACCCTTGGTGTAAAAGGATCAGATTAGAGAATACTTAAGCAAAGTAGACATACATAGGTCCACAGGACCTGACAAGATGCACCCCGCAACTGCTGAGGGAGTTGGTTGATGTCACTGCAAAGTTACTGTCAATAATTTTTGAATGATACTGGTGATTAGGATAGCCATTTGAAGACCCAGCAAGTCTCAATCCTGTCTTCAGAAAGAACAGAGAGGAGTACCCAGGGAACTAGAGACAGGTCAGCTTCACATCAGTCCCTGGGAAGGTGACAGATCAATGAACCCTGAAAATAATTTCAAGGAACATTAAGCAGAAGAAAAGCATCAGAAGTAGTCAGCATGGATTCACCAATGGGAAGTCATGCTTGACCAACCTGATAACTTTCCGCAATGAAATGAGTGGCTTGGTAGATGAAGGGAGAGTAGTGGATATTGTCTACCTGGATTTCAGTTGAGGCTTACTTCGCAGTTTCCCATAAAATCCTCATAGAAAAACTGTTGATGTACAGGCTTGATGAGCAGAGAGCAATTGGACTGAAAACTGGCAGAGTGGCTGGGCCTAAGAAGTAGTGATCAGTAGCATGAAGTCTAGTTGGAGGCCTTCTCAACATCTTCATTAGTGATCTGGATGACGGGGCAGAGTACACTCTCAGCAAGTTTGCTGACGACATAAAACTGGGAGGAGTGGCTGATACACTAGAGGGTTTTGATGCCATCCAGTGGGCCTCAACATGTTGGAGAAATGGGCTGGCAAGAACCTTATAAAGTGCAACAAGGAGAACTTCAAAGTCCTGCACCTGGGGAGGAACAATTCCATGCATCAATATTTGCTGAGGGTCACTCAGCTGGAAAGCAGCTTGGCAGAAAAAGACCAGGGTGTCCTGGTGGACAGCAAGAGGACCATGGGCCAGCAACACACTCTTGCTTCAAAGCAGGCAAATGGTATCCTGGACTGCATTAGGGGGAACGTTATCAGCAGGTGATCCTTACCCTCTGCTCAGAACTGGTGAGGTCACACCTGGAGTACTGTATTCATTTCTGGGCTCCCCAGTACAAAAGAGATATGGAGGTACTGGAGAGAGTTCAGCAAAAGGACATTAAGATGATTAAGCAACTGGAACATCTCTCTTATGAGGAAAAGCTGAGGGAGCTGGGACTGTTCAGCCTAAAGAAGAGAAGACTCACGCAGAATCTTATCAATGTATATAAATACTTTCAGGGAGAGTGCAAAGAAGACAGAGCAAGGCTATTTTCAGCAATGTCCAGTGCCAGGGCAAGAGACAGTGGGCATAAACTGAAACACAGGAGGTTCTGTCTGAACTTTTTACAGTGAGGGTGACTGAGCACTAGAACTGGTTGCCCAGATAGGTGGTGAAATATCCATCCTTGGAGATGTGGTCCTGGGAAAC